GTTCCCGAAGTTATTTTTATCCCGTTACCTGCATGGAGTCACCCCCTCCCTTCCCTCCGGCCCCGGCCGCGCTCACGGCGGTGTTGCAGAGCAGGCAGAGCCATTTCCTCCGCCGGCAGCGGCTGCCGGGCTGTCTCTGTGCCCACAGCAGAGCCCCCAGCCCCGGCCAAGTTATCCCTCATCCTCCCCTCCTGCTCCTCAGGGCAGCCCTTCCTTCCCCCGGCCGGCCACAACTCGCCCGCTGGCAAACGCGTCCCCGCCCGCTGGTACCCAGCACCTGCTCCGGGGTGAGCCCCAGGTACCCCCAAACCCCTGGCACCCAGCACCTGCTCCGGGGTGAGCCCCAGGTACCCCCAAACCCCCCAGCACCTGCTCCGGGGTGAGCCCCAGGTACCCCCAAACCCCTGGGAGGGGCAGCAGCTCTGGGGCAGCCCTCGGTGGCAGAAGGGCAGCGGGCTTTTGAGATAACACCCCCCTCCTTCCGATGAAATGCAGATTATAAAGAATAAAAGCAGGCGGCACCCCCAGCCCTGAGCACTGGGTGGAAATGAGGTGGGAGGGGAAAGGAAGCAGCCCCTGATCCAGAGTGCTCCCTGCAAGTGGGAGCGAGTCTGCAGCACATGCATTCAGCAGGCATAATTGGGCTGCTCTTCCTGGTCCAGAGCTGATAAAGTGGATGAAGAGCTCAGCCTCCATAGCAATATGCCAATGCTATGGCAACCCAAATCCAGCTCCCTCCTTATCAGCTGCAGTGATTATATAATTGGAGGAACAGTTTTGCATCTGTCTCTTGATGCGGATTGTCATTACTCCCAGGTGAAAGAGCAACTTCTAAAGCAAACACAAAACCGGCCAAGTGGAAGAGAGTTCTGTTCCCCCATGGTGCTTGGCTTGCCATTTATTTACAGTCTCTCTTTATTTTATGCAAACAGCACCTGAAAGGTTAAATTGATCAGTAGCCAAGAAAACCTGGTGGTGAGGAGATGGGAGCAAACCAATCACGATGTGGGATGGAGCCATTAAAGCAGCCACAGATTGCCAGTGGCAGGGCAGCCACAGGAGCGGGCTAGGAGATGAAGGCAGGGCTGGGATCCTGCTCTGCTCCTCGTTTTCTGACATGGAAACCTGCTTTGGCTCATTCTTGCACCCTGCACGCTTGCTGGCAGCAAATTTTGATGTCTGTTCTTGAAATGTGAGTGACGTGAGCAGGCCTGTGGCAGCATCTGCTGCCTGCACAGCTCTGATAGCAGCCAGCCCACCTGAGCTGCTCTCCCCCAGCTCCCTGGGCAGCAGCAGAGCCGCTCCAGCACGGCTCACTCACAGCAAAACCAGAAATAAAGCACAGCCAGGCCATTGGGGAGGGCTGTGGGGAAGAGGAGTTGTGTTTGGAAGGGCTTTGTTGGCTCCCTGACTGCCGCTTTGGGTAGGTTCGTGATGTGCTTGTTTTACGCTTCTGAACGTATCCTGAAAATCTTTGACCCTAAAGTAAGGATTTCCTCATTTTTTTGGATGCTAAGCCTGCTTCCATTTCAGTCTCCCATTGTACAAAGGCAAGTAAATAGTATGTTATTTGTCCATGCTGAGACACAGTGCTCGTTTTTTGCTACACAATGGAGCATATAATTTTTTAACAATAATTATTCATCTATACAGCTTATGTTTGTGTAGAAAATGACAAAACCCCACCCAAGAAGCGCCAGCAAAATCTTCCAAAACTAACTGCACCCCATCTAATGCAGATGTGGGGCTGGCTGGAATCCTAGACTGGTGTCTTTAGTGTGTTCCCTCACCATACTTTTACAAACTTGATCCCTTGAAATAAAAGAGAAGAGCGGTTTGCAAAGCCACGTGTTGCGGCCCCGGGCTGTCCGCTCGGGGTGTCCGGAGCTCACACACCCGGCTGGAGCCGCTGCTGGCTCTGCGCTGGCCACATCGGCCGGGAAAGGAACCAAAGCCGAGGATTTGCCGTGATTTTCAGCCCCGGGGTGGGGAGGGGAGCCGGGGGTCCCCGGTGCCTCTCCCGGAAGGTGGCACTGCAGGGCTGCGGAGCCCGGCGGCGCTCGGCAGGCGGCTCTGCCCGGGATGCTGCGGCCAGGCAGGGATGCTGGGACCAGGCAGGGATGCTGTGACCAGGCAGGGATGCAGGGGCCAGGCAGGGATGCTGTGACCAGGCAGGGATGCAGGGGCCAGGCAGGGATGCTGTGACCAGGCAGGGATGCAGGGCCAAGGCAGGGATGCTGTGACCATCCTGGGATGCTGTGACCATCCTGGGATGCTGTGACCAGCCTGGGATGCTGTGACCAGCCTGGGATGCTGTGACCAGCCTGGGATGCTGTGACCAGCCCAGGATGCTGTGACCAGCCCAGGATGCTGCCCATCTCTGGTCCAGCCCAGCTCTGCAGATGGAGACACTGAGACATCAGTGTCTATCCCAGAACAAAACTCATTAGGGTTGAAGAGCCCCTGGTAGGTCATTTATTCCATGCAGTAATGATCTCTAAGTGAAAAGCCATTTCTGATACCGGTGTCTGAACTACCCTGCCTTCAATTTCAGATAATGCCTTTGGGCTTTGTCCTTATTGCATATTTTGAACAGATTTCTACCTGCTGCTTGTAGAAAAAGAACCCCCTCAGGTATTTGTCAACCAGAATTAGGTCTTCTTGCAACCTCCTTTCCTAACCTGCACATACCCTGTTCTTGAAATGTTTCCCTGTAAGACACTCTTTTCATAGTCCTTGTATCTCCTGTATCTGTTAAATTAAGAACTAATTAGTGTATTCCCTTTATTTCTCAGAAGCCTATTGATAGCGAGAGGGTCAAGTCCCAAGCACAGTCCCTAAAGTGTTTTCTGACCTGAAACGAGGGTCAAACCCACAAATAATCCCCTTAACTTTGCAGGTATGAATAGAGATGATTGTGTACACACTTCACAGCTGATTTCAGTGGAAGAGCTGAAATCTGTCTCATGCTGTGCTACAAGACAAAACCATTGGCCCTAGGCAATAGAATTTATTGGATGTTTGCTTGAATTTTCTGCTCTGTTTTCAGAAAAGCAGTTTTATTTCCTGTTTGTTTTGGGGCAATGCTTTCATGTGGAGGAGAAACCACGCTCTTGCCATGGTGACAAAGTGACCAGATGAGCAAACTTAGTGGTGGTGTTGGAGTATTTGTTCTTGTGCTCTTGTTTTGCTGTGAAGGTTGGGGCAGAGCAGGAATTAGTCACAGGGTATAAAGAATACCTCAGTGTGGTTTGGAACAGCTTATCTTCAGGATTTTTGGAGAAAAAGACTCTGAATCACTCTTTAAAGGTGCAGAATTCCAACCTCCCCTGATTTAACAGTAAACACTTGTCTTTATGAGGTATTATCTCCTGCCTCAAAGTACTTGGAACTTTTGATTGGTGTAAAGCATTTAATTCAATATCATATGAAATAGCAGTGTAATATAAAATATTTAGTGTAAGGTTAAGTAGCAATACTTAAACATTCTGCATAACACAGTGCACTGCATTTATTTGCAAAAGTTGCCACCAGAGCCTTCAGAAAGGTATTTAAGTGCTTTCAGTCATTCCCTATCCTTAAAAAGAAGTATTTAAGCATCCTGCTGACTTTCTTTGAGTTGTGTGGAAAATGGTTCTACATCCATGCTTAAAATACCTGAGTACTTTAAAATATTTTATTTTAAATATTAAGTATTTTCAATTATTTTATTATTAAAATGCCTGAGTTTACCTGAGTGGCAAAATAAATTAAATTTACTTCTTGTGTGAATTGTCACTGTGGCCATGGACTTGCTGGGAAGTGTCTTGTTTAACCCTTTCTGGGAAATAATGGAAGGAACAGAATCATTCAAGGCTCAGGAACAGCAAGTAAAAAAGCTCTCCTGAGCAAGTGTTCTCTAAATTTATTGACTATCAACCAGCACAACAGATGTGGCTGCGTGCAGTAAAAGTCTCTCTTAAATTATTGAACACAACAAATCAGATCAGCACCAAAGAAAGCTTTTACCAGTGGCAGATATGTGCTTTACAAAACATAATGTTATTAAATGGTTCAATTGACTGTCTTTTTAAGGCTGTGTGCAAACCCAGTGTATTTTTTTTGTCAATCATTTATCTTAAACACTGGTTTTATTTACATAGTGGGGATGATAGGAATTTGAGAGCAAGTGTATTCATTAAAATGTTTATTACTGGGTTTCAGCATCATTAATTTTAGGAAGAGAAAACGCTGTTAAGGGTTCAGACATGTTGGTGGCCATTGAACACTTTTCCCTTTTCTGGTAGTTCCCCTACTACCT